GAGAGAGAGAGAGAGAGAGAGAGAGAGAGAGAGAGAGAGAGAGAGAGAGAGAGAGAGAGAGAGAGAGAGAGAGAGAGAGAGAGAGAGAGAGAGAGAGAGAGAGAGAGAGAGAGAGAGAGAGAGAGAGAGAGAGAGAGAGAGAGAGAGAGAGAGAGAGAGAGAGAGAGACACGGACACTTTCCAAGGACCCTTCACTGGTGTCAGGTGCGGTGTCGGCTGTCTGCTTGTTGAATGAGGGAACGACCACACGGGCATCTGCTCTCGCGCGCGCACGCGTGTGTGTGCCTGTGTGCCTGTGTGTGTGCCGTCGGCAGCATTGGTCGGGTGCTTTTGGATCTGGGCATATGTGTGTGTGTGTGTGGTGTGTATGTGTGGGGAGGTGGGTGAGTTGAATGAGAGCTGGGCGCCAGGTGATTCGTTGCACGTGGAATAGGGCTGGTCGCTTGAAATCATGTCCTGCGGCGCACAACGTGTCACTCACAAGCCCCTCGTCTCCTGGCCGTGCATGTGCTTGGGATATCGCTTGTCTTCCCTCGTAGTCAATTGCTCTTCCTTCTTGCACTTCACCTCTCAGCTTGAGCCAGAATCATGGCGGCTGAAGAGGTTCAAGGTCAATTAGCAGCCGTGTCGCTTGAGCCCGACAACGAAACATCAGCGAAGGCTCCTCCAAACCCCGCCCCCGATTCCGAACAAGCCATGGATGGGTCAGATTCAGCACAGCACGTGGTCCCTAACACAGCTACCCCCGAGGGCTTTGCTGCACCAACCACGCTCTGGCTTGGCGGCATCAGCCCCGAGGCTAAACAAGAAGCTCAAGACACACTACGCACCATCCTTCGCGGTGGCACCACCAGGTAGGAGCCCTTTCCCCAAGGCCTGTGTGTGTTTAGGCCCGCGTTGCCTTTTGGCCTTGTCAGCCCTCATCTGCTTGCACCCTGGTTCACGGGGGCACGGAATTCACAGTGAAAAGGAAGTCATCTACCTGCTCTTGCGCCTGCTTGAGCCTTTTGTCGACACTGAGGAGCCGCGCGTACGCACCGATACCCCTCCTCCGTGCTTCATGTCTTGCTCTTCTGCTAGCTTTTATGCCATTGTCGGACAAGCTTGCGCCTGTTGACCCCACCCTCTTGTGATCATGCTGTAGCTGGAGCTCCCAAAGCTCAAGAGCCGCGAAAGACGAATCGCACATAAAGTGGGCGATGTCACGGGCCTCCAACGTTTTACCGATGGGCAAACAATTTATCTTCTTCGTGGTGCGCCTGGCTTGCTGTCTTCTCCTGTCCACCGCCTGTGGTCTCTCTCGTCCGTTGTGGGTCTCAAAACGTCGAAAATCTCATTCCCATCTGCCCGCTCCACCATGCACCCTCAACCCAGGCGCTAGCGTTGACTTTGCTGCCCTACGCGAGCTTGTCGATGAAGTCGAATCTTCACAGCAATCGGTGCGCTTGTCTTTGCTGCTCGCATCCTTTTCTGTTGTCTCTCTTTTAACCCTTGATTCCGCGTGCACGCCACTCTGACTGAGCAATTTTGGTTCATCATAGCGGCCCAAAATGCGGCTAATGCGCCGCAAAGATGCCGATGATGACGACGGCAGTCTTGACGCATCACAAAACTCTGATGGTACCTCGGACGCCGGCAGTCGCCGCGTGCGGTGAGCCTCAAGCGCGACTTGTTGTCAGCCTTCCTGGTCACGGCATGCTTACACGTTTCATGCTCGTAGGACCCTCTCACAAAGAGAGCAAGAGTACGAAGAGGCGCGTGCTCGCATTTTTCGGGAAGCCGAGGAGGAGGCCAAGGCCCAGGCGCAAGCCGCTGCCATGGCCGCTCTTCAAGCCGCCACTCAGACCCAAGATCCGACACAGGCACAGGGACAGGCACAGACACAGCCTCAAGCACAGCCACAGAAGCAAGCGCATAACCAGCAGGCGCAAGTGGCTGGGCAAAGAGACGCCGATTCGACCAAAGAGGGGCAGCAACGCACAGCAAACCCTGATGTAGCGAATTGGAATGGGCCACGCGACCGTCAAACACGCTCCAGTCATGCCGGTGGCCGGCGCGGCCGCGGTCGCGGATATGCTACGGGCATGCCCATGAACGCGGAGGGCGGTTTTCCCGGGTAAGATTTTCGCACCGACACAATCTCGCCATGTCGATGACAGCCCTCCTTAAAGCAGTGATATGTGCATAGGCGCATGTGGCACCCAGATGCAATGCAGGCAGGCATGCATGGGTGGTCCCCGGTAAGTGGCCCGCACTGGCCTGTCATCTCTGCTGCTCGCCCATGCCTTGGGGCCGGCCTGTTCGGTACTTCGTTTATGCTGAGTGGCTTATGCGTGAACATTCTGGCTGGTAACAGGCACAAGGATGGGGGCGTGGTTATCCCCAGTCGGATCGACAACCACCAATGTCTGGTACCTTCAACCCTTATGCACCTGGCTTCGTCCCCGGCGTACGTATCGGCAGTCGCTCATGCTCACGGTGTTTTGCGCTCAAGTGGCCCATTCTCTGTTTACTCTTACCGAGCTCCTCTTGCACGAACGCTGGTTTCCTTTGCAGGCCCCATTCATCGGCGATCAAGGCGCGCCTCGCGCCAGCCACGGTCATGCACCTGCCATGGCTCCACAGTACGGCCAACGATCAAGTCAAGCCCCGCAACACATGCCTCAGCAACCCTATGCCGGCCAGGCATGGCCATCGGTAAATCCTCGAACGACCCGCATCGTTTCCTTGCTCAACCCAACCCAGCGTAGCAACTGGCACTGTGGTTCCTTGACTGATGCAGCTCCGCGGCCTTTTTGCTTGAATTGTGCCTTGCGCCACCCCTGGTTTACAGAGCAATCCAATGGCTTACAATATGCCACACGGCAACTTTGCAATGCCGCATGCAAGTTTTGGTGCGCCGTACCCGGGCTATCCATCCCCCATGGGCATGCGACCCGGTGCACAGGTGGGAGCAAGCGCCAGTCAAGCTCCCGGTACAGGTCGAGGCCGGGGGAACGGGCGACAACTATACAATCCTAAGGCCTGAGCTCTGCTTGGTCACCACGAGTCGGTTGATGTATTCACGCCACGCGCCTGCAATGCCTCAACACTTCCTCTTCTGGAAGACGTGGCGGAGGTGGCATTGCAACCTTGCAGTAAAAAAAAAATCAAGAGAGAAAAATAATAAAAGATGAAATACTTGACATGTGAATTTACATTGCATGCTGGACATAGGAAGGTGGGAAGAGTGTGATGCAGGATCTCCTTTGATTAGCCTTGGAAAGAGCTACAGCTTCATCTCCTTGCAAGTTTGAGGTGGGCCAGAAGGCGCAAGCGCTAACCTCGTATCATCCAGAACAAATCAGGGGGGCGGCAATTCGTCAGCAGTTCAATGCGGGACATCCATTCAGCTGCCCCAAGGCATCGAGCGCCACCACTGCCGCCCATCGACGGCATTGCACGTGTCGATGCGAACAGTGTGCTCATCAATGCGCGCCAAGCACGCATCCTTGTTGTCACGGGGGCGCAGCGTCTTGTCAGGCATGTGGTCCCACTGATAGAGTACATCCTTGGGCCGGCATGGATGTAAAGTGGCTTGATAATCGTGACCCAGACAGACGTCACTGACATACGGGCTCGTCAGGTAGCCGTCTAAGTGCGAGCAGGAGCAGACGCAGTAGTGTTCAGGACCAGCCACGATCAGATAGGACAGCTTCGTACATACGCCCGCCTGAGGCTGCTCAGGAAAAAATCTCACCTTTGAACAGCCAGCGCTGGGAAGCCCCGCCGTGGCACCCATACAGGCCAGGTGGCCCTCGCTGGCGTTGCATGTTATCAAGGCAGATGCCACTGTCCGCGCCCATCAACACCTGTCACCGTTGAGGCAGATTGCAGAGAACGCACGCGCATGAGAAACGGGCTCAACGGGCCAAGGTCAAAGCGCATCACGATTCAGATGATTCGAGCGTACATGACCCTTGAATTGCGCATCGGTCTCTGAAGTATGGGTCTTGGTCCACTGCTGGCTCAAGTCTGTTGGATGACAGGCCGCGACCTGAATTTTGTGGTCCGTGGAGCGTGTAAGGCAGAGAGTTGGGTTGCTATCGAGCTGGAATTGCACACCCGCACCCGCAGTAACTTGGCGCAGCTTGAGGCCTTTGGCACACGGAACTTGGGAGATGCTTTCCACGCGTAAGCAAAGCAAAGCGTGGCGTGGATACATGTTCAAGTAAATGTAGCCGTCCTTGGTCATGACCCATTTCTGACGATCATTGTGAGCCGTGCACGACTGAATCTTGGGAAAACCATCCTCATCGACATCGGGATTGGCCAGGCAGAGGTTAGCCTCATCGTTGGTCAGTTTGACAGAGCTGGCATTAATCTCGGGCACAAAAAGGTCGGATGCCACGTTATCCAGAAACCATTTGAAGGACTTGCACTTGTTCTTTGACTTGAGGGCAACACGCTCGCTGATGTCTCCAAACGAGCGTCCATGCAGGTGCCGGAAATCGTAAAATAATGCTTTGTAGTCGTCCATCCACGCTTCGGCCACTCGAATGTCGTTGCGGTCCAGGTACACGCCAACGTTGACGTTCTGTTGCACCGTTCACCCAAGGTAGGGGCGCATGGGAAGTTCAAGTGAGCAGGCGGAGGGACGCGATCCATCAAGTTTTCATCCCTTTGCACGCGTCCAGACACGTGGCCCAATAACCCACCTTCAGAGTTGGATCCATGCCAAAGCGGTTAAACTCGCGATAGATATGACCCACTGGACCAGGTTGAGTTGGCAGTGAGGTGGCGCACTAGCCATTAACGACAAGTCCCTCAAATTGGATCAAGGGGGCGCGTCGGACCAGAAGGGGAGACATAGCGATACTGACCATTGGAACAGGGCACCCACTCCATCGAACCCCCACACATCCATGTGCGGAAGGAGAGGTCAATGTGTTCACCGCCATCTATGATTGCAAAAGCTGAATGTGAGAAGTTGTGGTCATCGAGGGACCAGATGACGTTTGCGCTGTGCCCATGAATGTGCGCACGATGCCAAGTGCGAGACGCACAATATTTGATCTCTGGGTCATACTCGCCCAGCTGGAAAAAAAACTTGCGATCCATGGCAAACAATCCTGTGAATGGAACCATGAGATGGCGTGGACAAAGGTCACGAGCCACGGCCAGATATGGGGCCTGTGTCGGCAAAACGAAGCAGGACGCACCACCAGGCATGATGGGACTGCGAATAGGGCGCGTGTGAGGATGGCCGTCACCGACTAGATCATCCTGAATTGAGGCTTGGACGATGGTGAAGGACAAGCGCCAATTGAAGCTGCCCTTGGCCGGTGGCCATAGCTCGCCAGGCGTGATATCAAGCGTCTCCAGGTTGTGCCCACGAATGTTCGGGACGACCACGCGAGTGGGATCTTCGTGGATGCGCACCACAAGAGGCTCCAACCAGCCGGGCGTGGCTTCAGAGTGGCTATCCAAGAATAAAATAATCGGGTGGGTGGCTTCACGGGCGCCACGAATGCGGGCGCCTACGATGCCGTCGTGCACGTTGCGCTTGACAAGGCGCACCAGCGGTTTGGGCAGCTGTGCATTGATGCGGTCCACATGCTTGGGAAGGTGATCAAGCTCTGGCAGGGTGCTCATATCGTCGATAAGCAAGACCTCACCCAACAGTTCACGGGGTGAGAGGTTGATGACGCTCATGGCATTCCGCAAAAGGGTGGGGATGGCCTCGTTGAAGAAGATGATAATGACGGAGACCTGGTGGAATTCCACAGCACAACACAGGCACGATCGTCAGCACGCTTGGCGGAAGCCCGATCAACGTGCACGACAGGCAAGACCGACCGTTGGCATGCCCTTTGGGTACTGGATAGCCGCGCACTCGGGGCTGCGGTGTTCCGGCACAATACGGTGCAAGGGCAGATCGATGGATTGCTTGATGTTGTAGCCATAATTTCTGTCGTGATTGCAGTGGGTGAGTGACGAGCGGGCGGGGAGTTTCGTCAAGCGCACGCGGGCCTCGAAGCATCGCTCCCGGTCGTCTGCCGGCCTCACCTGAACATGCTGTCGTGGGATTCATACATGGGATCATTCATGTAGCCCTCCGGCATGTCAAGCTCCAACGTGATGCCGTAGCCGGGAGCGCCATCAAGTGCCTTGGCAGACCTCGAGGTGGCTTGTGATTTGGCAGGCTCGTCGCCATTGCCATTGTCCGGCACTCCATCCTGTCGCAGCCGATTTGTCTGCTCACGCATCGACACCAGACTGGAGAAGGCCTTGTTCTGAGCCTTCAGGTATGCCACGTAGCCAAACAAGCCCACTGTCACCAGCAGCCACACCAAGGCAAACACCTGCCGCCGCCGCATCTTTGCTGATGCCACCTACACCTAGCCACAATGCCCTTCCCCTCCCCACACCAACCCTCGCGCCCGCCTTTTGCCCGCTGCCAAACAGCGAACCAAATACCGGCTTGAGGGAAAAGTGAGAGAGAGAGAGAGAGAGAGAGAGAGAGAGAAAGAGGAAAAGCGTGATTGATCGTCATGCCATTCCACATGCCAAACAGAGTCCTTTGTGTGTGTGTGTTTGTGTGTGAAGTGGACATGGGGCAGTCTTCGACAGTCGGGAGGATGATTATCTGTTGGTCCATTTGAAAGGCGGGTCATAATCATGATGAAGGGTCACATTGAGAGTCGGTGGGTACCTGGATTCGGGTTCAAGGGTGGGTTAAATGAACGGAACAAAAAAGCATGAACCGGGCGGGCTTTCCCGGAGACCGTAGTGCGCCACACTCGCGCATACAAATCAAAATTTTATGGTAGAGATGGAGGGAATGGAGGCAGTCTCAGACCGCTTGCTTGTGGCTTGTGCAAAGGAAAACAGAAGGCAAAGGAAAAAAAAGGGGGGGGGGGGGGGGGGGGGAAGGAGGGCCACC